CACACACACACACACACACACACACACACACACACACACACACACACACGCTTGTCTTTCTGTACTTGTGTGGTTTTGAATTGACTTCCATTAACTTCTAACCTGAAGTTAATTCAAACCTCAGCCCTAAACCTAACCTCTGACTCACAACATTTTTGTTTCCATTGTGTGAACCAGGCACATGTCCAGACAATGACAAAAAAAAGGCATAATAAAACGTAAAAATACTGTTTGTCCACACACACCAGCACAAAGACATGCACACACACTAGTCTTTCTTTCTGCTCATATCCTGATTGCAGATCGAGCTGGTGCCGGTCCATTACCACTCAGGTTGTGATGACCAATTGTAACTGACATTTAGCCCCTCTTTTAGATCTGATAGTGAACAATTATGTTTGCAAGAGACAAATAATAGTCTAATAGGAAAAAGTGATTTTTAACAAACTTACACCACATTACTTTTGATATTTAAACAAAAAACCAAGACCAGGCTGAAATTATATAAGACTGAATATATTCATATTTGGAGAAGTATTGAGAAAAACATTGACGTCATAATTTCCCTTAAATAAAAGAAGTACAATGAGTCATATAAAAACTATGGTTACTCTTGCTGGTTTTGACTAAGGAAGCAGAAAGTTTGTTTTTTATCTACGGTATTTATGATTTTACACCTTATTTTCTTTCTTATATAATATCAAATAATATGTATGAAAAAGCTTTGTTAACTCAAACCTGCAAACTAAAATTAAAACTTGGCTACCACTACACATGTAGAAAAATTAGCAGAAACTAACATTAACAGTTAATCGTTAACCGCTAAGAGACAACTCAGTCTGCCTCGTCTTTGTCTCCTTGGAGCTGAAGACTGGTGGGACACAAACCTGCTCTTACTGGACTTAATGTTGACAAAACCTAATTTAATGAATGCTAATTGGTTCGCTAACAGTTTTCAAAGTTAGTGAAAAAGCTAATCCGCAATGCAAAAATTTGTTCCACAATTAGCTGATTAGCATAACCCTATACTGCATTCTTTGATGCATGCATTAACTTTAATAGTTATCTCCTGTAAACTGTACTTTGGAGGAACATTTATTTATACTATATCATATTAAAATATATGTATTTTTCATTTTAAAATTTAAATTGTCATCAGTTTTTAAAAAAAGGGATAGTTCATATCTTTTAAAATAGGGTCACTTCAGTCGAAATGGTTAGGAAGAATAAATAACCTGTTGTGGAACGGCTTCAGTTTGTAGACAAATAAAACCAATGGAATAACTTATTCAAGCAAAGCCAAATCCAAAGAAGATTGCTGCCAAATAAACTTCTATCACAAAATATTTTAAGATGTATAAAAGCTATTTTAAAAACCTTTAATTTGGCCTCAATTTTGCATTCCAGTTTTTTCATAGACATTTTGTATTTATTAGTACAAATAACAGCAGCAGCTTGCTGTAGCACAGGGCTATTCAATTAAATTGTTCTGGGGGCCTCATTTACTGCAGGCCAGCTAAAGGGCCAAACATACAGTAATTAAAATCATGTGAATAAACCAAGTATTACAAAGATCTATTACCTTTGAAACTGTTTATTTATTTTCTAGTTAATCATGAAAACAACACACAGAACCCTATGGAATAAAAGTAGTGATAATAAAACAATATCAAAACTAAAAATAGCACATTATGCCTCATATTTAACACAAATATAATTTTGACATCTATGATTTTTCCACAGTTTTTAAACCAATTTTATTTGTTTTATCTTCATTGTTTTATCTTCAGCTGCTTGTAGTTGTAGCTGCCTGTTCATGGAAATGGTTTTTACCAGCTTCTAGACAAGATTCTGACATTTCTGTAGACACCAAACATGTCTATGTTTATCAAAAAGAACTCGTAGTAACTAAAGAGTAACTTACCCCAAAATTAACTTTTTTTAGCTGATAAACTGCCTAGAATGTGTCTAAAATGTTATATAGTACTGTTTTGTGCTAATTTTGATGTTTTTGTGCGTATTTGTTCAAATCTGTAATATTTGGTCTAAAAACATCTTTTTGCTGCTCATATGGGTAGAGCAGTGGTACTGCAGGCTAATTTGTTAACGGCTCTCCATGGTGACTTGCTTCTCCACGGTTTCGTCACAGCGGCTGTGTTCTGGTATAAAAGCCTCTCTCTAAGACACGCCCCTGCAGCAGTCAGAGGGTGGAACAGTTAGCAAACTTAGCTTGATCGTCTGTTGACCTTCATCCTCGGGTGGGGAGAGGTGCTGGCTGCTCTCTCTCTCTGTCTCTGTCTCTCCACACACACACACACACACA